TTAGAATCAGATGGCGTGGGAAGGCTCTTAGGGGTGGGGACATAGTGAATGGCTGGGACAGCTAAGGGCCGGCCACAGCACAGGTGGAGATACTACACAGGCACTGGAAGATAAGATACCAGGTCACCCCCTTAGTCTTGAGAGCCTGGCCAGCTAGAAGCTCCCTGTGGCCCAAGAGGACCAGCTGTTCAGGGGTTCATGAAGGTGTTTCCAAGCCCAGCCTCCAGGCCTGGTTCAGAGCTGATGTCTTCACAGGAACACACCCTGTCAGCTCCTTGGCAGCTGGGTGTTTCTGCCAGGTGGCAGAGGAAGGAGGGGGCGGACCAACTGGGGGAGAGGGAGCTGGCTCACCCTGGCGCCCTAGAAACTAGCACAAGGCTCAACAGGTGGACCATGGACAGACAGTTGGGCCCCTAGTGAGGAAGTGCTTTCTAACTGTGGCAAGAGGTTACACTTTGTTCGACTTTGTGTGTTTGTGTGACTAGCACTGACCTGGCCTACAGCAGGTGCTTGGTAAATGTTTATTGAATGAATGGCTGAAGGCCTACGCCTTACTCAGGAAGGCAGGGAACTCTGTCACTGGAGGTATCCAAGCAAAGGCTGCCTTAAGAAAGGGCAGAGTGCATAGTCTTTGAAGTCTTCTACCCAGAAGACCCCATGATTCTTGAATTCTGATAAAGCTTATACTACTTTTGTGTGTCCTTTTATTATTGTGACATGGAGGGTTCAGATAGCCTTGTAAGGGGAGTAGAGACAGAAAAGAGACTGTGTATGCACTCTCACATACACTGTGTGGATACAATCATAGGCAGAATTTATTGATTTTTTTTTGTATGTATGGTATGTGGGGTGTGTGTGTGTATGTGCGTGTGTGCACATGTAGAGGTCAATGTTGGGTATCTTCCTCTATTATTCTTCTTTTTAAATTAATTAATTAATTAGAGACAAGATTTTACTATGTAGTTCTCTCTGGCTTGGAGCTAACTATGTAGACCAGACTGGTCTCAATCTCACAGAGATCCACCTGCCTTTACCTCTGTAGTTCTGGGATTAAAGGCATATGTAACCACACCAAGATCCACCTTATTTATTTATTTTTGGAGTGTGTCTCTCATTGAACCCGGAGCTCACCATTTCAGTTAGATTGGCTGTCTAGCTTAAGAGGCCTCAGGATCCACTTTCTTAGCTGCCCAGTGCTGGAGTTATAGGCACACACCACCGTGCCCAGCTTTTACATGGGTTCTAGGGATCTGAACTAGGCCCTCATGCTTGTATAGCAAGCACTTTAACCACTGAGCCAGTTCACTGTAGGTAGGATTTTTTAAATCTCTCTCTGCTAAAATGTCCCTCTCTAAACCCAGACCCTGTAAATATTAGCTATCACTCCTATGATGATCCTATAGAATTGGGCTCAGTTGACTTTAAAATAGGGAGATTCAGTGGACCTGATCTATCTTCAAAACGACTTCTAGACAGGAGGGGAAGTTAGAGAGGTTTGGAGCACAGAACAGTGCAGGGTTCCTGGCTCTGAAGACAGATGCTGCTCGTCACCAGGACCAGACTTCCATCTGTAGGGGCTGAGGTGACCTCTGGCCAAGTCAGGGAATGGGGCCCTCAGTCTTCACAGCCAGACAGAAACAAATCCTGCCAACAACCCAACTGATATTGGAAGTAAGTTCTTTCCCAAAAGCTCAGTGCAGTCAACATCTGTATTTTGGCCCTTGGGTGCCCTGGCCTTTTTACCTGAGGAACTGTGAACTAATAAATGGACATTGTTTCAAGTCACCAAGTTCGTGGCAATTTGTTACACAGCACAGAGAACACTATTTCCAATTTCTTCAGATACCAGCTCACTGTTTGACTCCTGGTGATTCCAAGCCCCTGTTCCAGGCAAGTGACCCTGTGGATGTCTGTATGACAGTCTGTCTCATGTATCCCAAGCCATCCTTAACTTGCTTTATAACTGAGGATGACCTTGAATTCTGTTCTTCCTTCCTCCACCTGTGCTAGAGGTATGTGCCACCATGCCTGATGTATGTGGTACTGGGGATCAAACCCAGGGCTTTGATGTATGATGGGCAGGTACTCTATGACTGAGCTAGATACGACAGTCTGGCTGGAGCCACAGTGGATATCTATAAGAAGGAGAGGTCTCTGGGTACCAGCTGTTGGGCACCAGCTTCCTCAGTGGGCAGGTAAATGTGGGCATTCCTAGGACAAGCCCTGGAGACTCTTGGCTTAGGTAGTCTTGCAGCTTTTGCCTGTGTGTGCTTGTTTAACCTTTCTTACCTGTTAATTTTCTTATAAGTCAGCCATTGCTTCTCCTTGGCTGGACCAGACCCCAGGCTAGACTGAGTGGTACTTGGTTTAGAGATGAAAACAGTGACTGACTGACAGGTGTGGGAGTGACACACATACTAGAGTCTCATGGGATGGAGCTGAGCAGAGAGGAAGCCTCAAGTGTGATGTCCAGAGATGCCTCTGTGCTCAGGGTGAATATACCACTGTAAAATGATTGGCATATCTATCTTCCATGGTGCAGGATGCTGACTCAGCTCCATGTGAAAGATGGCAGGACTAGGGAAGCCCAGGACAGGGAGTTCCTGGAGTTCTGGTTGTTTCCCGGAGCAGCCCAGTTAGTGTGCCTGCCATGTGAGCTGGATGCATAAAAGGAACATTCTGAGAAGGGGCCACTTCTGTCTCTCAGGTGTAAACAACCTTGTTCCATAGAGGTGGAAATACAGGTCCTTAATGGTAGACAGTGAGAGCCAGAGGGCTGTGACAAGCAGTGAAGTAAACTGGGTTCTGGAAGGTTTGGTAGGGAGACCTGGATGGTGCTAGCAGGCTTCTGGGTGAACTGGAAGTGTATTTGGGCATGAACTGATTTCATATACCCCGTATCACTGGGTGTCACTGTTGGGGGGGAGATTGATGGACTCTGGTGGGCCACAGTTGTCACAGAGGCCTTTGGCTGAGGTCAAATAAATTCCCAGGAGGCTGCTGGACCTGTGTTGCACAGGTGAGCGAGTAGTCATCTGGATTCTGGCATTGGCCACTGGGGTGGCATGGCAGGGAGGCTAGCTTCCACCGGAGACAGGAGACGTGGAGTGGGTGCTGCTGATGGCCTCATCCCAGTGCTGAGTAATTTCCTTCCTGGGGATTCCAGGACTTGGAGTGATGTCAACTGAAACTTGTTTATTTTGTTAACAAAGGAGGCAAAGTCATCACAAATCAGTCTTACAAGTAAGCATGAGCCTGCAGCATTTTAAAGCAGCCTTGAGCTCCAGAGCAAATTCATCCTTTGGTGCCAGGCAACAGGTCCAGAGTACAGGTCTCAAATTGCTGCAGACCCACCCCTTTTCTGTAGTAGCCATGCAGGTCTGTCACTGCTCCAGATGCTGTCAGGATGGCAGGTGTCAGGCTTAAGAAAGGAACAGCAGGCTGGTGGCTGATGAGAGCAGCTACTGTACAGTGTGACTGTGTAAGGCCCTTTCTGTCTCTGGGTTCCAACCAAGGAGGTTGGCAAACTGATCACCCCAATCCCTTTCAGTTCTGGTGCCCAGATTTGTAACCGAAATGTACTCCTCCCTGTCCATAGTCTTTCCTGAGACTCTTCATATGTTGGGGCTTACAGTTTGGGCTTCTGTTTTGTTTGTTTGTTTCTTTTTTGTTCTGTGTTTTTGAGACAGCGTCTTCCTGTAACCCCAGCTGGCCTGGAACTCACTATGTAGACCAGGCTGGCCTTGAACTCACAGAGATCCGCCTGCCTCCTCTTTAAAGCAGCCTTGAGCTCCAGAGCAAATTCATCCTTTGGTGCCAGGCAACAGGTCCAGAGTACAGGTCTCAAATTGCTGCAGACCCACCCCTTTTCTGTAGTAGCCATGCAGGTCTGTCACTGCTCCAGATGCTGTCAGGATGGCAGGTGTCAGGCTTAAGAAAGGAACAGCAGGCTGGTGGCTGATGAGAGCAGCTACTGTACAGTGTGACTGTGTAAGGCCCTTTCTGTCTCTGGGTTCCAACCAAGGAGGTTGGCAAACTGATCACCCCAATCCCTTTCAGTTCTGGTGCCCAGATTTGTAACCGAAATGTACTCCTCCCTGTCCATAGTCTTTCCTGAGACTCTTCATATGTTGGGGCTTACAGTTTGGGCTTCTGTTTTGTTTGTTTGTTTCTTTTTTGTTCTGTGTTTTTGAGACAGCGTCTTCCTGTAACCCCAGCTGGCCTGGAACTCACTATGTAGACCAGGCTGGCCTTGAACTCACAGAGATCCGCCTGCCTCCTCTGCCTCCTGAATGCTGGGATTAAAGGTGTGCACCACCATGCCCCACTGGGTTTGGGTTTCTGAAGACAGCATGCTGTCCACACCTTGGGGGAAGTGTCTCTGACTTGATGTCATTTTCTCATCCATGCTCTGTGGTGTTGGAGCCCCGGAAGTATGGTCTGTGTCTGTCTGTCTGTGTCCTGTGGCTTTTTCCTACTGTCATGTGCCATGTGTCCTTGCAAACTCTGTTCATAGTGGTGCAGAGTGACTAGAGGTGGATATCTGGAGGGAGAAGTAAGGCATATGTAACCAGAAGCTTCTGTGTGTGTGTGTGTGCGCGCACATGTGTGTGTATGTGTGTATGTGCATGTGTGATGTATGCATACATGTGCATGTGTGTGCAGACCAAAGGTTGCTGTCTTCCTCTACTGAGCTCCACCTTATTTTTTGAGGCAGTCTTTTCACTGAACCCGAAACTTGCTGTTCCAGCTAGATTGGCTGGCCATTGAGCCCCTGGGATCCTGCAGCAATGCCCAGCTTTTATGTGAGTGTTGGTGATCTGAACTCAGGTCCTCATGCTTATGCAGGAAGTACTTTGTCCACTGAGCCATCTCCCCAGCCTCCAGAAACTTCTTTGTGTATCCCAGCAACAGTGATTGATCATAGCAGAGCTCTCCTGCCACTCTCTCACTGCCTGTTAGCAGCTGATATCTCCCTGTTCCTTGTCCTTGGCTCTTAGAAAGAAGAGTTTCAAGATGATCCGGTCCCAGTCCTTGTCCTTACAGATGCCAACACAGCAAGACTGGAAGGGCCCCCCAACCATCAGTCCAACCATGTCTCCTGTAACCCCTATGGTTCCTGGAGCCACTCCCAAGCCTTCTCCAGCATCCTATGCCATGCCTGAGTACCAGCGGGTCACTATCAGTGGAGACTACTGTGCTGGGGTAAGGTCCCCACCCTTGGAGCCCATCCAGTCTGTGGGTGTCTGGGAGGTGGTGGAGAGGGGCCCAGGAATCTGAAGAAAAGGAAGTTTGCAGCAGAGGCCCTGGGTATGGGTATGTCTAGGGAGCTGCCCCATTTTGGTGTGGGGACCCAGGACTGCAAGCTGGCATGCTGACTATGGCTGGTCAGTTCCATGTGTTCTCTAAGCCTAGAATGCTGCCCCCTGAGAAGGGCACCAGTTGGACTCTTCAGCATTCCCCATGTCCAGGGGAGACTATATCACGCCATTACTGTTTTGTGTAAAATTAAGCTCTTACATGCTTTGCTTAGTATCCTTAAATGCAGGTTAAGACACCCCCCACCACCAACCAGGAAGAGAGATTCTCAATGAGAAAATGAATAAGTTTTTCCAACCAACAATTCCCTTAGAGATAATCTCCTATCAATCTATAAACATCTTCCTTCTTTATCAGTGCGTAGTAGTCTCTTATATGGATGTACTGCAGGTATGTTACATTCCTATGGATAGGAATTTAGATGGAAACACATGCAGGTCCTGTTTGAAGCTTAGCCTCCTGGTCAGAGCTTAATGTCCACCTCAGGCATGTGGGAAGAGCAGTGGAAGGAGAAAGAAGAAGTGGGCTGAATGCATGCCGAATGGAGGACACCGTAGACCGTTACCTCTCTTCGTCCTTTCCTACCTCCCCATACCAGGCAGGGAAGGAACCCCTGACTCGGCACATCTCTAGAGAGCTAGGTGGCTGTGCGAGGCAGGCTGGCCTTGCAGATCTTCTTGGCAGCCAAAGGGTCTTCTACCAGCCACACAGCCTGCACTGACTATAAGCTTGGCTAGTGGCTGCTCCTCCCCCAGCACCCTGAGCACCTGCTCCTATTTCCTTGGCTACTGTCTTGCTGAATCCATTGGCTTTGTGGGTGGGGACATGGCTTTATCTTCTAAGCCTCTGTCTGCTCACCTGTTCCTGTGGCTGCTCTTAGGCCAGCCCCTAGAAGGTGCAAGAGGAGCACACCCTTGTGGGGATATTCAAGGTAGGAAGGGAGATGCTTACACTGTAACAAAAAACAAAGAGTCAGGTTGGGTAAAATGTGCAAGAAAGACATGTGCTCCCTCCCCTGCGCTACTCCATCCTAGTGGGAGGAAGGTATTGTACCCACAATGCTTTATTTATTAATACTTGAAAGTCATCTGAAGCACTTAAGAGAAATGTGAGTATTATGGTCCTGAAAGGCAGGTTAGACTGCTGTGGTGCTGCTTGTAGGTTCACAATATTTCAGTTAAAATGATGATGCTTAGCCTTCCCCACTCTGTGCTCCCCAATCCTCCCACTGGCATCTCATTCTGGGGCCCCAGCCTCCTGTCATACCTGTCTAGCTGCTTGTCTCATTAAGCAAATTCAGACTTCTGGGAGCCAAGATGACAGAACCTGGAAGGTGATCAGGGCTCTTGCTTGTCTCAGTATGAGAAGAGCATCCTGGGACTTGGGGAATCTGTGAGATCAGGATTTAGAGTTTGGCTTTGTAACCTCCTGGGAAGTGATTGGTCCTTTCTGGGCCTCATTTTCCTTATTTGAGAAACAATGGAATCTATGGAAGGATCTAGTGCTTAATATGTAGCATGAGCTCCACTGACTGGATGAGTCAGGTGGTTGCCAGATTTCCATGAAAGCCTGGAGTTGGCAGAGCAGCAGACTGAGAACAGTTTACTTTTAGCTTCTGAAGAACCTGTGGATTTTCTCAGCCAAAACAATGGTGGGTACCCTCACCAGGGACAGGACCCAGGTTTTGTCCTTTGTGCTCTGACTGTAGCTGCAGGCTTGTGGTTGCATCAGCAGCCTTGGGGCCTGTCTCTGTGTGTGCAGGCTGAGTGCCTGTCTCCCTCCTAGCAATTCTCCCTTTCTTTCTCCCTGTGTTTCCTGTGTCAGGGTCCCCAAGACCACTCCCAGGTGACTTGCTAGGACTTTCAGGATGCAGCACCTGGCTGTACTCACAGCTTTGATTTTTTACAGTGGAAGAACCCAGAGCAAGCCAGTAAAGGGGAAGGTCACATGGGGCAAGGTCTGGGGACACCATAGCAGGCTTCCAAGGGGCCTCTCCCAATGAGGCACCAGCACCCAGTGTGACAGCTTGTGTGAAGTGCTGTGTGTCAGGAAAGCTCCTAGAGTACCGACATCCAGTTTTTTGGGGTCTGCTCACACATCTGCGTAGCACGCCCCCAATTCCATCATAAACCATATTGCTCATACAGATTAGACACAGGAAGCCTCTCTCACTGGTCTAGTTCAAACTTTCCTGAAATCCAGGTTCCCAGCCAGGGGCCAGCCTTGTAACAGATCTTTCCAAGCATGGTTGTCTCAGGCCTGCTGGGCAAACTCTTTCCTTACTTCCCACTGCAGATCACTGTGGAGGACTATGAACAGGCCGCCAAAAGCCTGGCCAAGGCCCTGATGATCCGGGAGAAGTATGCCCGGCTCGCCTACCACCGCTTCCCACATACCACAGCCCAGTACCTGGCTCGGCAGGGGGAAACTGTACCCTTGGAAGAGGGTCTCCCAGGTATGGAGACTTGACAGCAAGTGGGATCCTATGTATGGACCAGGCCCAAGTGTTGGTAGGACTTTTTGTTGGCTGAGTATGTTTTCGCCAGAGGTATTTTAGGGATGGAGTTCCTGGTATTGGCTTCTGTTGCACAGATGTTTTTTCTTCTCCCAGATTGGCTTTAAGTGTGTCTGAATTGGTGTGAAGCTGTAGGAGGGGCGAGGAAGAGAGAGAGAAAGCAAGAGACCTGATGATAGGAGTCTGCCAGGGACCTTAGCAGCATCTAAAACAACGCAATGAAACAGACAATGCTGAACTGGTGGTGGGACAGCTCGGGTGGGAGCAGCTTCAGAGGCCACGTTCTCGGGCAGGAGACGCAAGCTCCGCAGTGAAACACATCTGCATACATGTCTGGACTCTGCCAATTTCTAAGACCTTAGGCAAACAACTTCTCTAAATTTCAGTTTTGAAGTCTTTAAAATGGAAATGTCAACAGTCCCTGTCTCCCTAGGTGAGGGCCGAATAAATGAATGTATGGTGGAGTACTTAGTACAGATCTGGCATCTAGAGTCTTCTGTAGATGGCAGCCACATCTAGTGGTGGATGGTGCCAGGCTGTCTCCATCTCTGACTTCTGAGGCTTTCAGTTCTGTGCTTTGAGTATTTGTTACCACCAGGACCCTGGGTAAATCTCAGCCCTTCTCAGTCCATTTCTGTGTCTGAGGGGCATGACCCCAGGATTGACAAGCAGACAGAAATAACTGTCAGATGTGTGCTCTATGTGACAGGAATGTGGGGAGGTGGAGCAGTCTTTGGGTGGGCAGGCTGTGACTTCGCCCAGGCCTTTCTGCACCTTACCCACCGCTGACACAGTCTAGACACTCCTGGACAGGCCTGTAGTGGTGCTTGATGAGGGCACATCAGCATCCAGCTCTGCTGCATCCTGCCTCCTTTGATCATCATGTCTGCTTAGGGTCAGCCTGTTCCAGGGTGCTAAGGCAGGACCTCCTGCCCTGGGTGCTTCCTCCAATCAGAAGCCAAGGTTCCTCCTACCTGGTTGACAGCTGGATCAAGGGTCCTGCACTGTGATGGCTGACCTCAGCTACTTGAAGCTTCCCCCTCTACTACATAGCACTGGTCCATTCCTTGGTCAGAGAGAAAGCTGATTAAGAGCCAGATAACCTATGAGGAATATGAGAATACAAGTGTTGTTTGACTTAGGATGGAGCCATGTTCCCAGTTAACCCTTTGGAAACTGAAAATATCCTAAGTTGAAAAATGTGTTTATTATATCTAACCTAACAACTATGCTCAGAACATTTCTTTGAGCCTAGAGTTGGGCAAAAAATCATCTAACCTAAAGTCTGTTTAGTAACAAAGTGCTAAATATCCTGTGTAACTTATTGAATATTATATGATTTATGCACACTCATAAAGCTAAAATTTCTTTCGTTGAACCATCATAAGCTGGGCCTGTCTATAATGCTCTGTGATCTTTATACAGGGCATGCCTGCTTACAAAGCATTTCCCTGTTCACACTCTTGTGGCCCTCACAACAGCCTGTTGGGTAAGGAGTGGATTCCCCACATGAGGAGACAGAATCAGAGAGGTGAAAGGGTTTATGCAAAGTCTCACAGCTAAGAAACAGCAAAGGCATTTTTTCTGCTGTGCGCTGACTCAGCCCAGCTCCATAGGGGTAAATAGCTTCCTGCTCCCTGCAGGGCAGTTCCTGCTCTGTGGGAGGCAAGTGTCTGCCCCATGTTCCTTTGGGCATGGGGTAACTTCATCTAGCTCCTCAGCTGCCTTGGGCTCAGGCACATGTGGGAGGAGGGGAGCAGTTATTTCCTGTACACTCCCAGTGCTCTTTTCTTATTGAGAGAAAACCCAGCCATGAAAAATTTTTTGATGTTTATTTTTATTTCATGTGTGTTTTGCCTGCATGTATGTAAGTGCATCTGTGCATGCAGATGCTCTCGGAGGCCAGAAGAAGGCATCAAATCCCCTGCAACTGGAGTTAGGGATGGTTGTTAGTTGCCATGCGGGTATTGGGAACTGAACCTGGGTCTCTGCAAGAGCAGCCAGTGCTCTTAGCTGCAGATCCATCTCTCCATCCACCCAGTCACTAAAAAAGGTGAAATCCATTTCAGTTAAATTTAAAAAAAGAAAGTCACAAAATGCAAGCTTTGAGACAGGGATTGTTCTAGGGCCTGGGCTACAGCAGCAAACAGAAATCAGTGAGCCAGCATGCTGACTCTACTTTGAACAGAGAAGACCCCTAATACCCAAGATACCAAGAACAGTTATTTCTCAGAGTGGTGAATGCTAAGGGTACATAAAGAGATAGGCCGGGAAAGCACATCATCTGACATGAAGGCACAATGTCAGGGGCTCTTGGCTATCACTTAGTCTGTTTTGCAGATTTCCACCCTCCCCCACTGCCCCAGGAAAACCCTTACCGCCTGGATGATGCACCGCCCAACCTCGGCTACCTGGTCCGCATGCACGGAGGCATTCTCTTCGTGTATGATAACCAGACAATGCTGGAGCACCAGGAGCCCCACAGCCTGCCCTACCCAGACCTGGAGACCTACACAGTGGACATGAGCCATATCCTAGCACTCATCACAGATGGCCCCACGTAAGCCAGTTTCCCTGACACCCCTCTCATTGCATGGGTCCTACTTTACAGGAAGGAGCTGTGGGTTTTTCTGCACCTGATGTTCCTTCTTAGGCTGACATAGGATTAGGGCTGTTATTGCCTCTTCTTGCTGCTTGTATATGTGTGGAGCTTCTGTTTGCTAGCAGCATGGATCCTGGGGCTCTTGGTGCTTCCCACTGTGCTTAAGGACTTGGTTTGGGTCGACCTGGCAGGCAGCTGTCTTCCTACATTTGGCTGCTCACTCCCTGGTAGGCACCAGAGCTAACCAGTGACAGAGAATCAGCTGTCTGCACCTTAGGAACGGGGGTCTGGAGAGGGCGGATTGGCTGCCACAGGTGTACGCGTGCCTCACACTCCTACCTTTGGGTTTTTCTGGGAAGCCCGTAAGGCTGGTCTCTGAGACAGGAGAGGGGTATTGGGAAGGATGGGCAGCTTAGCTCTTGGTGCTTACTGATCTGAGGTCAGAACTAAGACCCAGAGGGGAAGGGATAGTTTCTGGAAAGCCCTCATTGACCACAAGTGTGAGCAGGTACCACACTGTTTGAGAAGCTGTTAAGAAGTACGTTTTCTGGGGACAGACACTGAGTGAGATGACCCACTCTGAGATCCCTGTGCTCACCCCAGGGCTGGTCTCTACAGGCCAGATGGTGCTGATATGGGTTGGCAACTGTTCCTATGGAGGCCTAGACATGAAGGCACCTTCTGTTTGGGGTGCTGAGGAAGCAGAGTGGCGGAAGTTGTGGGTCAATTCTATGAGTCTGTAGACTCAGGCACATAGATCTGCAGCTGGGCTGGGTATGGGGACAGCAGTGAGCCCCACCTTTGCTGACTGAGGAAACCTCTCTACCTGGGAGGGTGGAGAGCCTGGGTCATCAGCCCCACAAAGCTTTCTGCAGTGTTTCTTCCATTCTGCCTCTCACTAAAAACATTCCTCTCTTGTCCTGGGGCCTCAGAGTTGAGGAGCCTTCAATCACATTTGGTCATGGGTAGGTGGTGCCTCTGCATCATGTGGATGGTGGGCCATGCCGAATAGTTTGTATTATTGATATTCAGGGTAATTAATTCATCTTTAAAGAATTAAAGGTGACTGAGGAGAGGTGGGAGGAATGAAGGGAGGGCCACTCTGTTCATTCAGGCACAAACAAGCCAAAGACTTCAATCTGGGGCATTGCCAGCTGCATGTTTACATATGGGATGCCTAAACACATACAGCTGGACATGACAAAACTGAATGGGATCCCAGGCTTAGCATTCTCCTCTACCATGTCCTGTCACATGCTTGGTGGCATATGTGTGCTGGCCAGTTCAGTCAGGTCCGAAATGCTGGGAGTTTCTCCATCTTCTAGGGCCTGACCCTTCCACGCAGGGATCATCACCAAACTCATGTTCATGTGGTCTCTCCCTCTCACCAACCTGCAGGAAAACCTATTGTCACCGGCGACTGAACTTTCTAGAATCCAAATTCAGCCTTCATGAGATGTTAAATGAAATGTCTGAGTTCAAAGAGTTAAAGAGTAATCCCCACCGTGACTTCTATAATGTGAGAAAGGTATGTGGTGGCCAGTGTTCAAACCACTCACTCAGACACCCACTGGGGGCTTAGGGGAGCCCTGAGCCTGTCTGGGGCCAGAGCTGTGTGAGTGTCAGGTTTCCTTGGCCAAAGGGCCTGGTATGATGTGATGCATATGTGTGGAAGGAGGACTGGGCCGTGCCTCAGATAGCTTAGCACCACTCCAGGTCCATGCTGTGCCTCTGTTGGCCTGGGCCTCTTCCTTGGGCAGCAAGACCTAGCCGGATAGCTGGTCCTAACAGTTGAGCACAGGAGCCTTGCAGGGTAAAGAGGAAAAGCTCTTAGTGAAACAAGGAGAAAGAGGGTCCCCTAGAGGGTTCTTAGTCTCATTCATAAAAGAATTTAAGAATGGACCCAAATAAAAGTTTTAGGACATTTTATTAGAATTTTAAAGAAAAATCCTCAGGGCAGGTGAGCTGGCTCACTGGCTGCCTTGAGGAGGAGAATGGTGGGGTGGGAAGAAAAAATGAAAGCCATGAAGCCATGAAGGTTTAGAGCTTGTGTGGAGGTCAGGCACTTGGCTGACTGGCAGCCACATGGCTGTGAGAAAGAAGCTTTAGAGAAAAAGTAAAGAAATACAAAATGCTAGGGGCAGCCCAAAGCCTTAAAGAAAACATGTTTAGAAAACGGATATGAAGAAGAAAAAGAGAGATTATGCTTTTCCGAAGAGTTCAGAAAAGCAGGCAGACTTACAGAGACCTACATGACTGTGGCTGGTCCAGAAGTTCTGTGCTAGGAGGCAGGATTCCAGGCAGGAAGAATTCGCTATCTCATTAACTCAGTAGGTATTCCACCCACGTATTTAGTATAAGGTAAGGTGAACCCATCTTCCTAGGCATGGTCCTATGACCAGATGATTGACCAGTGAAACTGGAAAGGCAGGTCTTCCAATAGATAGATTTTATAGTCTTTGCCAGTTAAACTCATGGGGCTATTTGCTATTGTAACATTAAGACCTCTTTGGACTTAGGAATTTGTAGGTTTACATCCTTTGGAGCTATGTATATTTTTAAAAAGCATTGATTTTCTCCTATCTCTGTCCCTCTTGTACCCATGAAATGACTGAGTGGCTCTGGCACCTTCCTCCTGCAGGGGCGGCAGGCGCAGGTGTGTATGTTAAAGGGTCCTGACCTCAAGCTTTTCCACTTTGTGTTTAGGAGCAATGCTGAGGAGCATAGATAAGTGAGAGAGGCCAGATCTGAGTTGATGTGAGCCAAGGTAGCCAGGCTGAGGGTGTTGTAGAGGAAGGAAAGAGTGGCATTCTCATGGCAGGAACAGCATGTGCAGATGTGAGGGGCAGGAGTCGGGGAGGAGAGAGTGCAAGCCAGGCAGTGGGGCTGGAGCTCAGAGGTCAGCCACGTGGGGATGAGGAGGCTTCAGAGCTGTGGGACAGTTCTGGACCATGGGAACCTATGGGCTTCTCAGAGGATGCAGGAGATAGTTCTCACATGAACTATTCAGATGGGACCAAGAGCCTTCAGAGTGAGAGCTTGGCCTCAGCTCATGGGCTCTCAAAGGCTTCTGTAAGTGTCCCGGGCATCCCTGTGTAGAGGTGAAAGACATGTGTTAGACCACCTACCTGGACAACGTGGCCTTTATACCATGGGCACTATTTGTTCCTTTCTGTGAGCTTTAGCTGTTCAGTCAGGTGATGCCTCAGCTACTTTCAGGACACAGCTGTGCCCGAGGAACCCTTGGTGCTCAGCACACACCCTGGCAGGTGTCGGGAAACTGCTCACCTAGCCCAGCCCAGCCCTACCCTCTGTGGGTGTGGGTGCCCTGGGCCTCCCTGCTTTCTGTTGCCTGGGGTCAGGTTTATCTTGCTGCCTGTGCTGCCTCTGACACTGTTTGCTTCTGACGTGGTCCTGGGGGTGGGAGTGGGGAGTCTTTGGCTATCATGTGGGAGGAATACTGATGTGGGGCTCTAGTGACAGATCAGAGCTGATTCTTAGGGTTCCCTGTCAGTCTTAGGGTTGATGCTTGTGCTGTGACATAACGGTAAGTCCATAAACATGGGCCTAGGGCTGCTGAGTCAGGCTTGCTCCTTCAGGGTGGGAGAGCTGGTCTTCTACAGGCTGGCTGCTTTATCCCTCCTTCAAAATATGTGTCCTAGAGACAAGGCTGGACTTCTAATATCCAGAGTAGCTAGGAAGGGGCATTCCTATTTCTTCAGTGGCTCTCATGTCCCCAGCGTCGTCCAGAGCCAGGGTCTGAGGGCAAGAGCTGGGGCAGGGCATGTGTCTATGTGGGTGGTAGAGGACAGGTTATAACACTGTGAGTCCCAACCAGCAGGACCGGGTAGCTGAGTCTTGTAGTTCCTATTCAGAGCTAAGACAGAGGACTGTGCTTACTACTTGGAAGTCTGATATTGGTTAGAAATGGACATTATCTGCTTTGGTTAAAGTGTCAAGGACAACAACAACAACAACAACAAAAACACCTGACCAAGTAGGAGTAGGTTCCTGAAGCTATTCCAGCTTAGAAAAATGAATGCTTTTATTAATTACTCATGGAAAAGGTCAGTGTTAGCTCAGGTCAAGTATCAGCTAGGCCTGTCTTAAAATTCTAGTTTGTGCAAACCTGGACCTCTGGTGACAGCAGAGGATTCATTTCTGGTGATTGGAAGACATGAAGCTCAGACGACAGCCTTTTTGACTTAATCCGAAAATAGTCTCCTTTGAGATTCTGAAGTTCAGATTGGGTGATTCCTGGACTGTCCAGTTGTTTTCCTTCACCAATGTGTGACTCATGGGAACAAGAGCAGGCTGAATCCCCTATGGTATGTCACTGGAAAACTGAAGGGCACAACCAGAAGCCAGAAGAATGTGCCAAGTCACGCTGAGGTAGTGGAGCCAGGCCGTGTCCCGCTGAGCTAAGCCGGGCTGACCTCCTTGTCCAGCATTGTTCCTGCTGCGATGGAGCCTGGACACTCTGCTCTGTGTGCGATGTTCTAGACTTCAGAGCTTTGAGTTATTTCAGCGGTCTATCTTTGTGGGAGGAGTGGCAGGATTGATGGCGGGGAGGATCCTGTTGAGTGAGCAACATGGCTGGCTGGGATAATGCATACAGAGATCCAAAAGATCAAATGTCTGGTTTGGCATGACTTAAAGATGACCAACCAGCTGTGGACAGCATTCCCTGGCTAGAGGTCAGTCCCTCCTCACCCCAGCCTTGGCAGAGAGCCCAGCCAGCCACAGTCATAACTCCAGGGTTCAGGCTGGTGTCTGGGAACACTCTAGCTTGGAGGCTGTAATCTCCTTCCATAGTTCTCCCTTGGCCTCTTGGGCTTATGAAAGGGAGCTCAGCATGCCCACTGTGATTTCAGATCCTCTCCCAGCTTACTGAGGTGACTAGCCTACAGGTGGAACAGAAAAAAAGTAGAAATGGAGGTGATGGGGAGATGGCACCAGGTGATGGGAGATGCTGTCAGATAACTTTGAGTGCCCTTATTCTAAGACTAATGACAGTGTTTTTTTTTTTTTCCTTAAAAAAAAAAAATCAACTTTAGCTTTGTTTGTGGGGAATGATGGATGGAAGGCAAGAGGAAAATTTACAAGACCAGTGAGGATGTCATTCTGAACTCAGAGTGAGACTTGGAGTCTATGGTGGCCAGGAGGTTGGAGCACATCTGCTTGGGAGGCAGAACTGATGGGACTGGCTGGCCTGAGAGAAAGGAAAGGGAAAGGTTGAGAATGACCCCAGTTTCCATGATGAGCATCTGGGTATAGGATGTGCCATTTCCCAGACATAGAGACCCAGGAGACCATCAAGTTTGGTCTCGGGCAAAAGACAAGAAGAGTTCAGTTTTTGACTACATTAAATTTGAACTATCTTTGAGTTATCCAAATGGAGATGTCAGACAGACAATTGTATGGTCTGTTCTGAAACTTTCAGTTGATGATCCACATTTGGGAGTTGTTAGTGTAAAGGGGGAAATTTTTTAAAAGCACAATGGGGGCTAGAGAGCTGGTTCAGTGGCTGAGTGCTTGCCACCCTTTCAGAGGACTTGAGTCCAGTTCCCAGCATCCACGTTGGGTGGCTATCAACCATATGCAACTCCAGCTCCAGGGGATCCAATGGCCTCTCTGGTCTCTGCAGGCATCCCCTACTCCCACAGGCACATAAATACACATAAATAAAAATACAGTAAATCTTTAAAGGCACAGATGGAGCAGACTGTCTTTGGAGACAATGTTTAGTGAGAGGGTCAGGCCTGAAGAAATGCCAGCTTTTTGAGGCCTGGGAGTGAGGATGAGCTGACTCAGGAGACCAGGGAAAGGACAGAGAGGTGAGGGCACAGCTTAGTTTCACAGGAACTTAGCATGATGTGGAAGACCTGAGACACTCCACAGGAAGCTGAGATCCCACTGGGCTCCTTGCTGGTGTTTTCCCTGGGGAAGCTGCCTTCCCATGGAGTGTAGGGGATGCAAGCTCCATGTGTCTGTCTACCAGGTAGATTTGGCTCTGAGGTTGGAGTCACATGTTGGCTTAGGTTCAGGAGAGTGACTGCTGTGTGAGATTTGGATGCCTGGGGTTTTGAGGTAATGTGGACCTGACTGAGAAAATGTGGTGGGCCACCCTCTTACCTCTTCTTGGGGCTTCACTGTGGGAGCTCAGAAGTCAGTGGGAAGAGAGGCATTTCACAAGGCAAACCTCTACAACTCACCATACCTGTTCATCTGCTCATACATTCATCCATCAACTCAGACCATACTTTGTACCAGACCCTGGGGCAGGTGCTGGAGACCTGGATGCAGAAACCCCTGGCTGCTGGAGAAGCAGTTAGAAACATACAAGAGGGATCAGGAGAATGTATCCAGAATGGGGATGACTGTTCCAAGTGCCCAGGCTGGGCTGAGGGGAGAGTGGGTTTCTGAGCTCAGAGGATCAGGATTGGCTTCCACATGGAGAAGGTGGAAAGAAACAGATGAGATTGGTGGGGAGGAAGGAAGATGTTCCAGGCTGAGGAAAGGCATGGGCAAAGTGACCGGCATAGTGTGGTGCCCTGAGAAGTTGTAAGTGGTTTATGTAATGGGGCAAGGTGAAAATTGTTGGAAGCAGCCTCAAATGCCAGCCTAAGGTTCTAGGTGTCACCTTGAGGATTCTGGGGCCATGGATGACTAGTTAAGAGGAAAATTGAAAAAAAAAAAAAAAAAGATGCCTTAATGCTGTTAGGAGGTAGGCTGAGCCAGCTTTGAAGTCCAGGGGAGAAACAGGGAGGGAAATGCAGGCATTGGTGGGTGTGTCCACAGCCCATGCAGTGCTGGGACTCTGCTCCACATCGAGGGCTGCCGGCTCTTTGTTTGCCAGGGGACGGGACTCGGCTCATTGGCCAGGGGCCGCTGTGTTCCAGGTGGACACGCACATTCATGCAGCGGCCTGCATGAATCAGAAGCACTTGCTGCGCTTCATCAAGCACACGTACCAGACGGAGCCCGACAGAACCGTGGCTGAGAAGATGGGCCGGAAGATCACCCTGCGGCAGGTGTTTGACAGCCTGCACATGGACCCCTATGACCTCACTGTGGACTCACTGGACGTCCACGCGGTGAGTGAGCTTCTATCCTGATGTGTCCAGCAGGGTGTGCTCTGCCCCTGGAAAGTCCCATAGTTGAACCTGGACAGCTGCTGGCTGGGGAAGCAGCTCTTTCTTTGCTTGTGGTTGAGATGGTGGAAGGAGTCTCGTGTTAGAGAATTACCGGGGAGGGAAAGAGGAAGAGTCTGTAACGTGAGGTCAAATGGTTCCAAGTTCTAATCCTACTCTGCCACTTAGTCATGTGCCCTTAGGAGACTCACTTAAGCTTTTATTCCTTGTCCATAAAATGACGACTACAGGGCTGAGCAGACGGCTCAATGGCTGAGGGCTCTCACTGCTCTTGTAAAGGACCTGGGTTCAGTTACCAGCACCCACAGCCACCTGTAAATCCAGTTCCAGGGGCTCCGATGCCCTCTTCTGGCTTACATGGGCACTGCACCACACACGTTGCACTCACAGTAGCAAACACATGTGTATACACATAATTTTTTTTAAAAAAAGATTTACAAAATGATGACTGGCATGGATCTTATTAACTTCTGAAGTTATTAAAATCCTGAATAATGGTGCAAATGCTATGAAACCAGCATGGCAGTTCCTGAACAAGTTAACTGTGGGATCCTGTAGAATCCAGCAGCTTTGCTCTGAGGTGTATGCTTGAAAACAGGACTTGGATAGACACTTGACCAGTGGCGTTCCTAGTGGTAGTCAAAGGGTAGAGAATAACCCAAGTATTCAGTCACAGACAGTGAGTGACCAAAATGCGGTAGATGCACACAGTCCTAAAAAGCCATAGTGCACACTTTTCTCTTTTTCTGTTCACATGTGTACTGTGCATGATTGTGTGTGTGCATGTTTTTGCTTGTGTGTGGGCACACATGTGCGTGTGTGTGTGTGTGTGTGTGTGTGTATATGTGTGAATGTGGAGGCCCGAGGTTGACATCAGCAGTCATCCTCAATTGCTCTTCCACCTCATCTGTTGAGTCAGTGTCTCTCAATCAAACCCAGAGCTTGCTGATGTGTCTAGTCTGGCTCTGGGAATCTGCTGTCTCTGCCTTCTGAGGCTGGGATTACAGGAACCTACCATGCCCACCTGGCATTTCTTTGGGTTTCTGGGGATCTGAACGCTGGTCCTTACACGTGCACGACCAGCATGTTAGCTGCTGATTCAGCCCCCACACTTTATTTTAGTCTATTGTTCAGGAGTCGCGTGCCCTCTACTCCTTAAGCCTGTCATGTTCCTCAGATCTCCCGGGTCTCGATACTCCTTCATAGAGTGCCACGCCATTGAAGCTGACTGAGGAAACATGGTTCTGGCACTCAGAATCCACAAAGTTTCATACAAGAAATGGTGGGCTGGGCATGGTGGCACATAGCTGTAATCCTAGCGCTCTGGAGGATGAGGCAAGAGGATTGCAAGTTTGAGGCTAATCTGTGCTTTATAGTGAGACTCGGTGTCAAACAAGAAATGAGAAATGGCCTGGAAAGATTTTTCAGTGTGGCCATTTTGTAAAGGCCTGGAGAGGGTGACATGTTTTGTGGCTGCAAGAAAATATGGTGAACCTGGCTGGGGGTCTCCTCCTCACAGGGCCGGCAGACATTCCACCGCTTTGACAAGTTCAACTCCAAATACAACCCTGTGGGGGCCAGTGAGCTTCGGGACCTGTATTTGAAAACTGAAAACTACCTTGGAGGAGAATACTTTGCTCGGATGGTCAAGGTGAGTGAGCTGTCAGTCTCTCGAAGGCCTCCTCAGATACCTGACAGCACCCGCCTGCAAACTGTGAGCTGTGCATGGCCTCTGTCCCTTCCCCTCTCTGAATGCCCTTCCATCTACCATACAGCACAGGCCAGTGCTGGCCTCCTGCTCCTGAGCATAAGCAGGTGTGCTGTGCATGCTGACTGTAGTAAGGGAGAGAAGGGACGAGCCCACAGCACCCTGGTGCCGCCTCTGTCTGTTTGCAGCCTGAACTTGGTTGGGTACAGGTTGGCTCCAAGTGGAGACATGGCTGCTATTCGGCCTGGTTCTACTGCTTGTGCTGAACCCTGGCCTCCCTCCCAAGAGGTGCCTCTACTAGGGAGTGGGTGCTTATGCAGCAACACCAGAGATTTAGATCGGTCTTCCTGCCTGTGAGCAGGTAGCTGACATCTAGGGCCCAGCTGGGGATGAGGCCCAGCTAGGGCCCATGTAGCTGAGAGGCTCTTGGGCTGACTCAGCTCTTCTGGGTTCCAGGAAGTGGCCCGGGAACTGGAAGAGAGCAAGTACCAGTACTCAGAGCCACGGCTCTCCATCTATGGCCGAAGTCCCAAGGAGTGGTCCAGCCTGGCCCACTGGTTCATCCAGCACAAGGTCTACTCACCCAACATGCGTTGGATCATCCAGGTGCCCCGGATCTAGTAAGTGCAGTGTCCCTGTCTGCCTTGTGCCCTCTGGGGACCATAGTCTGTCCTGCATGGCTCTTGAGCATGTTGAGGGTTGGGCCCGTTTTTAGGGAGTGGTGTTTGACAAAGATGCCCTTAGCACACTTTACTCCTGTTCTTTGAAGAATACATATGTGGCAAGTCCTTCTTTTCCATTTGGGTTATCCTGGGGTATTATGCGACCTGGAGTGATCTCTCTCTGGCGATTATTCAGAGTGCTTCTTTCCTCTCCAGGTGGGTTGGGCACAGGGTATAGGGGAGCTGAGTGGCAGAGTTGCTGGAAATTTGAGAACATTTTCTTATCAGACCTTGCCCAGCCAGAATCTCACCATGTCATTCCCAGAATGGCCTCTGGCTTGAGGCAGAGCCTGGTGGGCACTGGAAGATGCTGTCTACAAACCACAACCTAGATTATAGAATAGGCCAGGAGTGGAGGAGTAAGGCCACATCTGACTATGCTGGGTATTTACCCTCCAGAGGAAGTGACTGGGGCCGGTCTGACAGGTCAAGGGGACTGTGGGGTCCACCTAACAAGCAAGGCTTTGATTTCCCCAGTGACATATTTAGGTCAAAGAAGCTGCTGCCAAACTTTGGGAAGATGCTGGAAAACATCTTCCTGCCCCTTTTCAAGGCTACAATTGACCCCCAAGATCACCAGGAGCTTCACCTCTTCCTCAAATATGTAAGTGTCATGGTCTCCAGATAGGAGGCAGAGGAGGGCACACGGCCCAGGCAGGCTTCCTCTGTCTCCCGCTCTGCTTCTCTTCCCAGCTCCTGCGTCCCAGGCATGGGGCTGCCAGCTTCTAGATGCTGTCTAAAGGAAGGAAGGGAGGCTCCTCCTTCTCAGGGTGATGGCACTGGTAATGCTGGGGCAGGCTGTCTATCCCCAGCAGATAAGGGTGACAGTGGGCTAGGATTGTTGGCTCTTGGCCAGAGGGCTGGAGCTGCCTGATAAGATTCTGCCCCAGGCAGCACCAAGATCCCACAATGGTGGTCCTAGCAGTCATCCTAAAGGCATTGCAACTCTGCTTTTATAACAAGCCTCTGTTCCATAGTTGGCTAGTTATAAGAGAAAGGTTGAAGGAGAGACTTAAAGAGGAAGAGAGGGAGACACAGGAGCTGGTCTTTCCCACAGAGGCCCCAACAAAGGGGAGAATAAAGGAGACATCACTGGAGCAGCAAGTTCAGTGTGGGTGGAGGGATGGGATGGTGTCTGACAGGGAGGAGCCCAGGGGACCAGCTGAAGAGGGGTGGTTGAGGCTGGGTGTATCGGGCCTGTTTGGAAAGCATTTGGAAAAACTGAGGGACATCCTGGATTTATGTTTTATACAAGCACAGTTCCTGGTATGGGGTGAAGGAGGCCCTGGAACAGAAGGTGCCGAGTTGGGTGAGAGGCAGATTGTGAGTTCCAGTACTGGAGACAGAATGGGTGCTTGGATCAAAGGTGGCAGCTCACATTTTTCACGTGCCTCCTGCCTGGCCTAGTTGTATACCGTGCCATCTCCTGTCAGCCTCACAGTGGCTCCATCTTTACCTCTGCCTTGTTGTTGTTGTTGTTGTTGTTGTTGGTGGTGGTGGTGGTGGTGGTGGTGGTGGGGGGTGTGTGTGTGTGTGTGTGTGTAGGCTGTCTGTAGACTTTTTTTCTTGTTTCTCACAATAGCCTCTTGTTTTCCCGTGGCTACAAGGTTGCAGAATTGGAT